GTCCATCGCTAAAGAATAATAGCTGAATTTGTTTGCCTTCTGTTTTAACTGATCATTAAAGTTATTGGCTATATTAGCTACTCTTCACTGCACGGTCATATGGGACAAGCTTATATTCTCAAAAACATTTTTTTAATCAGGACATAATCCGGAAACTGCAATTCACAAACATTTATGAAGTCACCTTCAGTAAAAGACTTCCCAGCAGCACCAATTTCTTTAGAAATCTGAAAACTAACCTTAGTAGCTGCCTCATTTTCTGAATGTACTCTCTTGAAAAACTGTTGTTTTCCACTGTTGTTCCTCAAATTTTCAACAATTTGGACACTTTAATTTGTTTTTCATTGGTGTCCAATTTGGCTAAGTCAGGATGTTTTGATTCGAAATGGCGACACAGATTGTATTCCTTAGGAACGGCCATTACGTCTCAGCAAACAAGGCACAATATTTTGTCTCTAGTGTACGTAAACAAGTATCTATTTGTCCACTCCAAATTAAACACTTTATGTTCTGATTCGATCTTCCGCTTCTTTTGATCATCCATTTTACAAAGGTATTAATCTTGTAAAATTTACAATTATCAAAATGGCCATTCTCCCAGAGCTGCTTCGGTGAGTAATTTTGCCACCCTCATTGCCGTCATAATGTGTCAGCGCTTACAGGCTGAGCGCTGATTGGTTATTTCCTGGAAATCACCCCTGCGACAGTTCATCATGGAAACTTTATTTAAAAAAAAAACATGCTACATTTTTGGACCTTGTGCTCATGAGCGATGTGGGCTGCATGAAATCCTTTGGTGGGCCGCATGTTGTGCAGGCCTCTCCTAGGAGGCCTTAACCAAACAGGAGGGGCATGGGTCCAGAACACAGGTGGCCGAGCTCATAGCCACAAGGAACTTGTCCACTTTCTCAGGATCAATTGGGTCAAACTCATCCCAGATAATAGGACTTAGACATGTTTCAGTCACTTCCAAACAATCTGCCCACCCAGAGTCCAAATCTGAGCAAAGTCAAGAGATTTTATCTGACAAATACTGAGGATATTCCTCACAGTGGCCCTGCAGGAGCTGCCCTGGATCCTCCTTACATAGGAGGGACGTAGTCACCTGAAACAAGGCTGCTGGATGGCGATTTGCAGATGCAATAAGGGCGGAGAAGTAAATATGCTTCACCACCCTTATCACCCAAGGTAAGTCCTAATATAGGTTCTTTCTTGGGCTCAGTCAGCTTCACTCTTAGTCTTCCTCAAGCAGCACTCTAGGCATCTCGGTGTCACTTCATCTCTTGGAACTGCTCAGTAAACCATGGTGCTCCACAAGATGCACAAATAGACTGCACAGAGAGACCATACAGGTGCAATTCAGTCCAGCACCCCCATCACCTTCTCATTCCAAGCAGCAATGAGGACATCAGCTGAACTGCATGCCAGAGCTTCAGGAAGAAACCCAAGTTTCCTCTGAAACCACACTTGGTCCATCAGGCACCTGGGGCAGGCAAATCCAATAGGCCCTACCTCCCTGAGGTGAGGGACAGCTGCTGAAAACTCTGTGGCCAACAAGGAGTAGTCTGTCCATGGCAGGAGACTGATGCTAATGCCCCCCAAATCCAGATCATGATTCCACTGCCCCAAGGCAGTGATCCACTGCCCCAAGGCAGTGATCCATCCAGTATGTGGCTCCCTGTGTGAGTCAGGTCATGAATAAGTTGAACCAGGTCCATAGCTTTCATGGTAGCCATAAACTCCTGTGCTGCCTTAGTCCCCGGACCCAGAGATGGTAGGTTGAAATCCCACAGAACCATAAGCCTGGGGAGCTCCACTGCCAGCTCAGACACAGAGTCCAGGAGCACAGGCAGGGATGGAGCTAAACTGCAGGAAGTGAATAGCAATAAGAAGATACCTTATTGCCAGCAAGTTGTATGAAGAGTTTCAGGCTATATTTCAAAGCCATTGGTGAACATGATGTGGGCTATCATTCCTGTATTTTATTTCATTAGCAGATTTAGCTTACACCAAATATACTTTATTTAGTAAGATGTCAATCCTAAAATCCCATGGACCATAGGAATTTTTAGAGTTCTTCCATCAAGATAGAATAAGCAAATGTGGTATCAGTTGCTCTCTTACCAACCTAGGAGTCACTGAAGTCCCCTTTCTTATTGAGAAGATCTTCCCCACTATAATGAATCTGAAGAAGGGAGGGAGGGAGGAAAGAAGCCTTTGACTGTGCTACTGTATCTAGTGGCTAAATTATTCCAGCACTTACTATTAAATATTGATAGAAACTTACCCTTTTGCAATTAAAAAGCTGGGATGGAAAGGTGTGGACATTCTGATCCATCTAAGTCATTTCTCCAACCTTATATTTAAATTGGTTTCTACATAATTTGTGGACAGTTAGCATTATGGAATAATCTATTCCATTATTATTCTGCTAGATTAATAAATATAAGAGATTACCTTCCACACTTGATGATTCAGAAGCTTCTCTTTCCCACTACCAGCCATTGTTGTGTGTTTGGAGTGGGATGAAAGCATGGCTTGCAGAGCATGTGCCACAGCATAGACTGCATTGTAGATACTATAGCTTTGCCCAGTGATGCTCAATTCAAAAATAGACTCTGGAAGAGTCTCCAGCTTCTCTTCCCCAGTGCACATTTTCTCTGACTTTGGTTTTAGAGTGGACTTTGAGAAAGAACATTCAAAGGCTTGTTCCCAAAAGACCCTTGAAAAACTGTCTTCCTTTTCTGGAACACCATTTCTCATCTGAACAAATGTATTGAATCCTAATAATTCTTTTGATGAAACTGCAAAAGAAAGAGCACCATGGATGAAGTCCATACTCCTGTCTCTTAAAAATGGGACTGAGGTGTATTCCATCTGGGCTGGAAAAATCCAAACTTTGTCTTTTCTCTCAACTGTTGTTTCCACAATTTCTGAAATAAAGGAGAACATTCTGAAAATAGCCATGATTTCATTTTCAGAGTATATGATCACAACAGTGGAGGTACTTCTCATAATGACTTTGTATATTTTAAGAAAATTATTGATTTGTTCTCCCAGCTCATTCGAAAAAGCTACTGTTGGAACCTGTTCAATGTAATTGAAGCAGATTCCATTTTGGGAAAACATGATAAGCACTTCCCGCAGAAATCTTTCACCAATCTTGTTTTCTTGACAAATTACTCCAATCCAGGTCCACTTAAAATGCAGCAGCAACTGGAGGATCCCCATTATTTGAAGATGTTCATTTGGAAACATCTGATGAAAGAAAGCTGTATGAATTATGTTATCCATCACTGGAGCTGAGCCATATATGAGCTTAGGAGAAAAGGAAAATACAAAATATATGCATGTGTATTTGGTATAATTGATAAATGGTCAGAAGTGACCGATTCATATTAGTGCTTTGATTTTCAGGGCTTATTCATATTCACTGAGGATCTTCCTTTAATTTCTATGAAATTAATGGTCCTACACAGTCATCCTTTATGAAATCTATTGTTTCCAAAAATGTTATGATGCAGTTTCATCACCTTAAATGTGGGCAAAATATGTTAGGTTTAGGAAAAGGATATTATGTAGATAGCCTCTTTCTAAGGTGCATCAGAGAAGTCTAAACTATTGATACAGTAGATGTTCAGGATTGATGTAATTAACAAGGACACTTTCACATTTAGAGATTGATTGATAGCACATTCACTCCCCCACTCCCCCAATTGCTTCTTTTCTACCACCAATGGAGTACTTGGGACGTTTTAAAAACTGGCTTTCATCTAATTTGGGTATAGGGGCAAAAGACTAATTGAACCATTTAGTATCTAGTTCCCTCCGAAGAGTACCACAGCATAGCTGGTGCTCATGGCACAACCCTGCTGTAAATGTATACAGACAAAACTGGAGATATAAATGGCTGGCAAAAGATCCCATTGTCAGAATTTGCTGACCTATGTAATTCCTCCTTAAGGATTTGTGACACTGAATTTCCATTATTTAAGAATTTAATAATAATGCCTTATTGCACTATTTTGTTATCCCCTTACAACTTCACAAAACTTATAAGAGTAGACCTCTCTAACAACAGTTTTGTAAGTTGCTAAGAAACACCATCATATTTATAAGATAACTTTTTCTAAAAATGCAAGTTGAAGAACAGAAATTTGATAAACAAGCATCATCATTATGAGTGACCTGTGCCAACTAGATTAGATCAACTTTTGTTGTAGAACCATAGATCATAGGTTGGAAGGAACCTTGGAGACCTTATACTCCAACCCCCTGCCCAAGATAGGAATCCTTATACCATCTCCGACACATAGTTGTCTAAGCTTTCCTTGAAAACATCCAGTGATGGAACACCCACAACTCCGAGAGACAGTTAAGACTCACACTACTTAACAACTTTTAAGATAAATGCTTTTCTACCTCTTGTCTGGACTACCTTGAAGGGCTAACAAGGCTGAACCTACCTTTACTTCCTTCCTCCACTTAGTAAGAATACCAATGGAGCCATATTCTTGGATATAGAAATACTGGGGTAGATGCTCCAGAATGAATGTATTGCTTGAAGCAATCCTATTTTTTCATGGAAGAAACTCTTGTGGCTGAGATTATCTGAACTACAGTGATCTGTATTAGACTATTACTAGTTAGCAACAGAAGATATCTGGGATGGCAGTAATACGTTATTATAACTGGACTATATCACTATTGTATTTTCTGGATAACTGTAGCTGCCTCCTAGGTGCAATTTTCAATCACTTTGACAGAACTGATCGTGAGCTCCTGCTCCAAAATGCTATTTTGAGTTGTTTGTAGGAATAAATCACTGTTCAGCTGTATTTTGTTTATTTTAACTGAACCACATTTATCTTCTAGCTGTATAATATGTTTTATTTTTCTTGCTATTTTAGTTTTTGTTATTACCTTAACTTCTATGGAACTGTCATGGAAATCAACAGAAAAATATTTCAAATTAAAAGAAAAATTTATCTTAAGACTAAGAGAATTCATCTGATTTCCTAATTTTTAAATTGGAGACAAGATATCTTTTCCTCAAACTCTTAGCACAATTTTCAGTAAATTGGGACTGGAAAATATGAAAGTGTTGGGTTGCCAGATTGCATTTATGCTCTGATTCCCATTAGTTACAACCAATCCAAAAAAAAAAAAAAAATTTAAAGAGGAAGGCACATATCAATAACATATTTTTTTTTTTTCTTGAGCAGGTTTTACCTGTGGAATCTTGTAAATGCTGAGGATGTCTGCCATAACCTGAGAGATATGAGAATTGGGTCCTGCAATAACACATACTGAGTTCTGGTGGATCCTGCATTTGTAGTTGGGAACAAATCTGTCATATGAAGAAAGAAGCTCCATAGAAGCAAGGTAGGTCCATGTTGCCATGAAATGGCTGTTAGATATGGCAAAGCCCAGAGTGATGTTTGGCAAGATCTGAGGAGTTTCATTGATCTCCTTTACAGCAAAGATCAAGGACAAGATATGCAGGTAGTTCTGTAGAAACAAACTTCAAGGGAGGGTAATGCCTTTGTCACAACTTCCACACAGAGAATTTGTTACATTTCAGTTTCATAATCTTTGTAAACAACAAGGTCCAAAAATAGACTCTGAGCCCCCAAGACCAGACAGTGTGTAGTAAATACTTGTTCTCACTGTTTCATAAAGTTGAATGCAGAATCAGCTGTTTCACAGATAACTTGTTTGGCACCAATTTCTTTTAGAAACAAATTATCATTTTTACAATGTTTTTATAGAATTGGGATATTTCTACCTCATTTTGAAAGGTCCAGTGTTGTACATTGAACCACATTAGAAATGGCAGTGTCTAAAACCTGGAAAGAAAGCATATCCAGCTCCTAAGAAATCTCGTCTTTGATATCAAAGGGATTTGACTAGAGAAGAGGAATTACATGAGTGGGTTAGACTGTAAAACTGCCAAGATGAAATTCAGTGGAAAATTCAACATTCTTTCTACATATTACATGAAGGCCAAAGTGTCACTTTGGCTTCCATATCTATGCTTTCTTCCAAATCTATGCTTTCTGTGTGGACACATTTAAAATAACTGTTTCTCACCTTCCTTTCCATCATTTCTTCCCCTTCTCCTTCTCTCTCCCCTCTCTACTCCGGTGTAATTAAACTCCTTTCTCAAGATAATAGTCTCATGCAATAATTGATTAATTTATCTTTGAGGTAACTAGGACTATTGTTTTTGCTACAAAAGATTGACCCCGGTGTTCCTCTGGAAGCAAAAGATTTGTCATGTGTGATACTACTTTGCTTTCAGTCACTAGATAGAATAACCTTGCTTCTCTCTCACCTCGAAAATAATTCTTTCTCGTTTCCTGATCCCTCTTTAAAGAATTCTTCTATATCATTCTCTAGCACCATCTCCCACCCCAACCCCACCTCCAAAAGATCCTCTCTCAGGACCTTATTCCATACATCTGATGAAATGGGATGTAGATTGGAAAAGTCTATGGGATACAAGTGTGCTTAGATTTTAAGTTGCCATAAACCAGCATAGGTCATGGTCCTTCACAAGCAAAAACAAGCTTTGTTGGGTCACTGTTACATCTACTCTATACTTCACTGATGAATTCCAGCCAGATTCAACCAATCAAGAGAAAAAGCTGATCATTTGCATATATACTATGCTGGAAGTGGTGTGCCATGGAACTTTGGGACAGAAGCATTGGGAAACTAGGAAGCAAAGGGCTGGGGAAAACTCAGATATCTATTAAGCGAGACCAAGGGAAGTACAGTTCTGCAAACTTTATGAAGTTGAAACAAAGTGGGAAAAATCAAAACCTGCTATCTTGCTGTTAACCCAATTATTAAGTATATAAGAAACAGAGTAGAATCTCTAAGCAGAGGAAGAGTAACTGAAAGGAGATGAAAGTTATATTTCAATCATTTATGCCTTCCCCAAAATATGTTAACCCTTTATCCAGCCATATTTGAGAGCTTGTATACTATAATAGTTCCATACATGGGATCATCAATGAGTTCTTCCAATGGAATTCTTTTGAAAGTGATCAGGTTAGACATCATGTAAATAAGAGAAATAATGCCACCAATGATGTGATCACCTGAATGGTAAGACTTGTGTTTAATACTACGGTTGTTGATGGTGCATTTAGCATCATGGCATATGACCTGAGGAAGCCATATTATCACCCACAGCATGAATAGTAACATAGCAAATCTCAGATGTGCTTTACCCAAATGATCATTGATATGGCTTGTGAATATAGGACAACCGAACATTTTGGCTCTTTCTCTTGCGAGATCTGAATGCAGAAATGTACAGCAAAAACAGACTCACACAGCCTTACCCTTCAAGTCTTATATTTGAATATGATAACGAACAAGGAATATTAATAACATCAGTCAGTCTTGGTTTGGTTCCTGTTTTGCTGTGCTCTTTGGAACTCCCTAGGGTGCGGAGGAGTAGAATTAAAGATGGTCAATTATAGGGCACAACATCTCTTGCTCAACTGTTTCTGAAACTGCAGAAGAAAATAATAGATCTCACTTTGATGTAAATGGTTTGTGGCTTTCTGTATAGTAGTGAGGGAAAAACAGATTGTAATAAAAGGCAAAGAAGACCAGAGAAAATAAATAAATGAACTAGTGAGTGAGAAAGAACAAGTTTGCCAGCTTTGTACTGTTACAATGGCATGACAGTTTTGCACTTGAAGTAGGCTCCCGAATTGAGAAAACAACAAAGTTCAATCAAAAAGCTTCATTATCTGTCAGAAAATGTCCATGGTTTTAGATCACCAAGAGTGTGTTACTCTTCTCTGGCCAACAATCACACACATACACACACACACACACAAACACACATTCCTTATAATTTTTATTTAAGAGAATAGAAACTATATTTAAGAGAATAAAAACAATACAAATCAATGTCTTAGTTCCATACCCAGACCGGAAACCTCACTGAAACAAGTCTAGATAATCCACTTCTTCCAAGATTCCCTGAAGCTACAGCATGATCACATTCTCAACAACCTTTCCTTAAAAGAGGAAATTGGAATCAAGGCAAAAAGTATTGAATATGGTTGGGTCCATCTTTGGTTTCCTGCATCAGTGGGACCAGCCTCTATCTCCAGGATCAAATCACCGCTGTCTGGACCTAAGAACATGTTATTTCCCAGGAAGCTTTGGCTAACCAGGAGGGACCTGAGTTACTCAAAGCAATGCCACCATGTTTTTCCACCCTTATTGCCACAAAGTAGGCCTTAATAGTGACACATGGATCTCTGGAAGGATCCTGTTCCAGAAGGCAGGTGCCACAACAAAGAAGGCATTGTTTAGTTGAATGGACCAGCTCTGTTGCATAAGAGAGCTTTAACAGAATTTGAAAATGTTATAATGCAAAACTCAAGACATTTATTAGACTTTATTTATTAATTATATTCTGAAACTCAACACGTTCAAGACTGTATTTTTAATACCTAAGGTGGAATTGACAGTAGATATGCAGCAATGGGAGTATCAATGAATGACTTAGCTTTACTGTAAATTTCATGATTAGATAACATTGAGATTCATTAGTATATTACCCTAGTTACGATTGCTACTTTGAATTCCAAATATTTGGAAATGTGATAAAGGATTAGGAACATATTATTTGTAGCATAGAAAGAGCTCAATGGTTTTGGAATGGGACCTAAGTCAAGATGCAAGAAATGCTAGTTTTGGTTTTATTTTCCAACCTGTTACTTTCTTCTTGAATAACACAAACCATTATATATCAGTAAAATTTACTGAAATGGTATACATGATCTCCATAACAAAGATTGACTATGCCATATATTAGAAGATTGGCAATGAAATTTTGAGAGTATGCTTCCAAACTTCCAAAAATAACCAGACAACTGAGTTATTTATTCATTTATTATATTGATTCATATAGTAGCGCACTTGTGCTACTACACTACTATTGATTCATATAGTATATGAATATACTATTGATTCATATAGTAGCGCAATCCTGGAGTTGTGGCAAACACAAGATTAAAAACCAACAGAAAAGAATAAGTAATAACAAACAGTAATAACAGAATAAAAGTGTTGTAGTAGATTTGCAGAGGCTTTTATCGGTTCAGTACAGTTTGGCAACCATATATTAATAATAAATACTTTCCTATATTTGAACTATCATTCTATTTGTGTGTTTGTGTGTGTGTGTGTATACAGAGAGAGAGAGAGAGAGAGACTATTTGTATATCCACCCGCACAGATATAAATACACATGCATACACACTTTTCTGGGCTTTGCTATTTATTACTTACTATTGGTTACTTAGTTGCATTTGTTTTTTTTTTTTTTGTGAAACTTACATTGACAAGCAGGTAATATTGTGTGTCAAGATTGTGACAAGAGTTAAATGCAACTCCTATCCCTAACCCTATAAGTATTCATATACATATCTTCTTTTCATTCTTCTCAGTTATCTTTTAGATATTAACCTATTGCCAAAAGTTTTTCTATGACTTATGTGTTATTTCTCAACTCCCCCCCCTTTTTTTCCTTCTGTTTTGGGGCTATTAATTAAAAAAAAAGGTAGAACAAAATGAGAAAAAGCAGGTTCAAACTTTATCACATTTCTCCTTCCTTCCTTCCTTCCTTCCTTCCTTCCTTCCTTCCTTCCCTTCCTTTTTTCAATGGCTTGTCCTCATTGTCCTATAGTCTCTGTTTTCTGTGACAGCCTTCAACAGCTCTTATGGCATTAGCAATACACTTCTCTGTTTCTCACAAAGAGTCACCTAGTTTGAAAAATAAAAGAACCATACTATAAGGACTGCATTCCAAATGTCACAAGTTTCACGCCTGCACAATTTTTCTACAAAAAACCACAAAAACTGGTTTTCAATCAATTCTACAAGATTGAGAGTAGCCTTTTAAGGAGGCAGATGATGATTTTGTCACAATTTAGAGGATTTATCGCATAGTGCTCCAAAATAATCAGTTTTGTTTCTTTATCAGCTGTTCCTTTCTGTTCAAATCAGGCCTCAGAACAATAATGTAGCATTTTGGGAAAAAGATGCAGCCCAGTAATCCTGCTGCTGAAGCCAAAATGGAGAAGATCTCCACTGCCACCATGTATTTCCCCTTGGTGCTCAGATAGGTGGGAACAAAAGATATCCAGACACTACAAAAGACCAACATACTGAAAGTGATAAATTTGGCTTCATTGAAGCTGTCAGGTAAATTCCTAGCAAGGAAGGCCACTGTGAAGCTGATAGCAGTCAAGAACCCCATAAAACCAAGGACAGTATAAAACATAATGGTTGAACCCTCATTACATTTTAGGACAATTTCTTCAGCCATGGAATGCATGTCTGAATCTGGAAATGGGGGAGAAAATGCCAGCCACACAACACAAATGGTGACTTGCACCAGGGAGCAAGACAGGACAATA